GTGCTTGAACATATTGATGAAATTGGTTACTAGACTTTTCATTAATTGTTACTTCACTATTGGCTTGTCTGCTGCCAAGAAATATGTTAGTTGTTCATTCCCTAAGAATAAGAACAAGATCAATAATGAAGAATGATACAGCGAAATTTCAATAGGAAATTCGTATGTGAACCAGACTTTCAATTCTTAATTTTGAAAAATTGTTTCAAATTTTGAACTTCATTGCACTAGCTTTAGTCTCTGCTCATTTCTAATATCCCGGCTATTAATTAACCGGTTAATTAAATTCACAATCCTTGGGCATTCTATTAATTGAAACTCAACGATTTGCTATGCCAATAGAGAAACCCTCTTACAATTGTTTCCACAATGCAGAGTGCACAGAGCCGAGTGCGAAAAAATGGGTCAAGGTTAAATTAGGTCAACTAACGTGTACCTTGTCGAGTTGAGCGCTTTTCCGAGTCGCCCCTTCAGCGCTGTCAGCTGACTCTGCCCACTGTTACTTCTCTTACTCTCTCTCTCTCTTGCTCTCTCTCTCTCTCTCCCGCGCTGTCGCTCTTTGTGGCCTTCTGTTGGAGCATTGACAGCAACATTGTTGTCAGCTAATAAGTAAATAAATGCTTAAAATAATAATAAAAAGGGCAGCTATAATATGCTAGTGTGCAGAGAGAGCAGGGTAAATAAAAGTTTTTTGCTGTTTAATGAAGAGCCGGACCAGAAAACAATTTAAAGTTTTTAAAACAATTTAAAGTTTTTCCATAATATCAGTCGGCTATTTGTTAATTAGCTAATTGTCATCACTCCAAGATATATACATTTCGAATATTGTAAATATTTTAAAAATTAGTTATATATAAATTCTTTTGAACATCCTTCATGAAATTTTATAAATGCCTTATAGTTTTTTCTGTTTAAGGTGTCGCCTTTCCATTAGCTAGCTTTTTCAATATTCATTTTAAAGTAATCAGCCAATGCCCCGAGTCTGTCCTTTAAAAGGCTTTCAATTAAAACAGATCTGCATGGCTCATTGACATCCAGTCGCCGGCTCAATGCCCCTAGGGGACATACATATGCATATATATACCATAATAAAGGTAGTATATGAACCAGTCCCATATAGTGAGCAATCATACTGCCATACACAATCCCTTCAATTCTTCAATTTTTTTTTGCTGCTGCTGTGCGAAAGGACAATACAATTCTGATTGAAGCAAGCAATAAGCTCACAAATACAAAAAGTGGGACAGAAAGAAGGATTGCCTGGCGGAAACACTCGGAGATTTTATTTTCTGTTTCTCCTCAGTTGTTTTCGTTGCCATTGTTTTTGTGGTTGTTGTTGGTCTGACCTGCATCAATTTATTGTCTCTAAGGCTGGAATAGCGAAAGGCTTTCCCAATTGTTTGTCATGTATTCGCTCATACATATATATCTATATGCATGTATAGCTATCCAATAAAAATGTAGTAAATTATGCCCGTACGTCCCACTGTACCTTCTCGCCACTCTTTCTCTCTCTCTCTCTCTCTCTCTCTCTCTCTGTTCATCACTGAAGTTAAAATGGTTGCAATCAAAAAATACGCTTGATTTTTTACATCCTTACCAAAAGCGCACTATCAATATTATGAGATTTCGCGTCCTCTCTACCCCAGACCTCCTGCCACTGCCCTGCCTCTTCTCATGTGTGTGTGTGCGTGTGCTCGAGAGAGTGTGGGAAATATTGCAAATGTAATATGCTTGTTGGGAGGCGGAGCCCTTTCGGCCGGGAATTGCTGTCGGATGGGTTTGCAACGTGTGCTAAGCCCTCTGGCACGCCCCCATGCCGCTGCCTATATTTTGGGCTCGGCGCAGCAATTCAACATTTTTGCTACACTCAAGTAGACACTCGACGGGCTGCGCCATAAAAAAGGCGAGTGTGTGCATATTTTGCAATGATCAAATGCAAAATACCCAGTATTTGAGARCCATTATTTATTTATAGGAATATTTTTTAAATTCGAAAATAATGTTAGTCGCCTAGAATGAAAAATAATATAATATGTATTCAAAAGTTAAATTATTTTTAATTCTTGTAAAATAATTGCAAATGAAGCCGTATACATTTTCAGTTTTGAGAATCGAAAAGAAAGGTCTGTAAACTAATCCTTATATATTTAAATAAGAATTGGAATCGACAAAATTTTAATAATTTGTTGTTTCCTTTTTTTCTTTTATTTCTATTAAAATTCATAAAT